AGGATGATACAAGCTAGACAAAGAATACAATTTTTAGTAAATTTAATTATTACATAAAATACAATTTTATCTTTATTAATAATTATTATAGGTGTCACATTCCACTCTCTCAAAATCTGATATTTATCTCAATCAAGAGACATTTAACTGGCATAACAGGATCCCCAAGATATTTGAAGAACACGAGGAGATTGTTAAACAGTCACAGAAGGAGGCTGAAGATGGTCTCAAGGTTAGTTGTACTTGAACTGCAAATATACAGCGTGTGTACATGCATGTACATGTACTGTATAACTGGTAATTTTGGAGGGGGGGGGGAATTTTGGCAAATTTGGCATTTTTTGATAGCCCTTTGTCAAAATTAAGCCCACCATTTTCAACCATTTGTGCACGCACAAAGCCTCAAATTTGCCTAATCAAAACCTGCCAATCATTAAAATTTAGCAATTTGCCAAAATTTTTGCTACCCCCAAAATTTTCAGCTATATGGTACATGTACATACATGTATTATACACATGTACATGTACATTCATTTTTATGCTACATGTAGTTGCGTCGCGAGAGGTTCTTGTCTGAATTGGAAGGCTATGCCAAGCAAATTGAAGAGTTTGAGACATTCGGAGACTTACAAGAAATACAGAGATACCTCAAGAAAGGACAGGCACTAAGAACAAAACTTGAAGAAGCACAAACCAAAGTAAAGAAACTATAATGCATGCATGTACATGTACATTAATTTAAATCTTCATGTACTGTCTGTTTATTATTATTATTCTGGTAGATTGAAGGGTTCAATAGTGAAGAGGATGCCTTTGATTGGGAGAGGACACAGTATCCTCTGAGGAATAAGCTATACAATACATTGGACCCTTACTATAAACTCTATGAGACCATCACTGAGTTTCAAACAAAGAGCGAGTAAGTACTGTACATGCACTGTATACATGTAGTTTTTGATGCATTAATTAGCAATGCTTTACATATACAGTAGATTAATTTACAGTTGTAGACTTGTATCTAAATTAATCATTGTAATGCTATACTTTCCTTTCATTCTGTATCTTAATTTCGATCTTCCTACATGTACATGTATTGTACATGTACATGTACCTGCTGGACTCATCCTGTTAAATGCATGTCTCTTACAATTATTAGCTTGTTCACACGTTTCATGACATGTTCAGTACTGTTCATGACATTACATGCATGTACATGTACATGTATGTTTCAGTTTAAACATGACATGACATGTGTACATGTTCATGTATGCTTTATAAATTACATGTTGACAACATGATTGATTATCTTCAGAGCTGACATACAAAGTACATGTACACTGGAAAATTATTTGCTTCCTATGCATTTACATGTACAGTACATGTACATACATACATACATGTACATGTATGCTTTTAAAATGTATACATGTATCTTCTTTACATGCATAAGAGGAAGCAAATCATTGGCAGTTACCATAATTGATTTTGATAAAATACAATTGATATGTACATGTATAATAAATATTTTTATATGTACATGTACACGTATATGTAGATATACAATGTACATGTAATTTTTTGTTTTTAAAAGTACTTTACATATGCATGTATACTGTACAAGCAATGCAGTGATTATTTGTAATGTTGGCTCTGCCCTTATCCTTCATTATACTGTAGCTTATGGATGGATGGTCCTATGAGTGGTGTGGACCCAGACCAGGTTGAGAATGAAGCTGGTGGCATGTGGAGAGCATTGTATAAACTGGAGAAGACATTCAGTGAAAACCCAAACCCACTGAAAATGGCACAAAAGGTAAAAGTACATGTACTTGTACAGTACCTGTACATCACATGACATGTACATGTACATGTACCTGTATTTTGAAGGAAGTACTAATAATTATTATTGATTGAAAGCCTTCATATACATGTATTATGCTAGTCATTCCCATCACCTTAAAATAATTAGCGAAATTGCCCCCATACATGTACTCTCAGTATGTACATGTACATGTATATGTACATGTTATCATGTATTGCTCCTGGTAGGTTAAAGGACGTGTTGATGAGTTTAAGGAGCTCTTACCATTGATTGGTGCCCTGTTTAATCCTGGACTAAGAGAGCGTCACTGGATGAAAATGAGTGAACTAGCTGGCAGAGAACTCATGCCCACTATAGTATGTCACAATGTAGCAGTGTTATTATTATTATGTTGTTGTTGTTGTTCTATTATTGTTGTTATTATTATTATTATTGTCGTTGTTGTTATTATTATTATTATTATTATTATTATTGTCGTTGTTGTTGTTGTTATTATTATTATTTATTATTTTATTGTATAGGATTCTAATCTAAGGAGCTATATTGAGATGAATCTTGATCAATATTTGGAACAGTTTGAGGCCATTAGTGAAGCAGCTAGTAAAGAACACTCACTTGAGAAAGCAATGGAGAAGATGATATCAGAATGGGATGATGTTAGTACGACTACATGTACACATGTACACGTAACTACATGTACCCTCTTAAATTTACGTGTAGCCTAGATTACACGTACAGTATACATTGTACATGTACATGTACATACACATACTCATGTACAGTATAATGTGTATGCTTGCATGAGCTAGCATTTATTGCACTGTATCAAATCTTTTATCATGTACATGTACATGCATGTATATGTACATGTACATGTGCTACTTGTGATATACGTACATGTACTGGCCTTACAAAATTTTTTATTCTTCCTTTAGATGGAGTTTGTGTTGATAGCGTACCGAGAGACTGGTACTAGGATACTGTCCTCTATTGATGATATTCAGAACCTTCTTGATGATCATATTGTGAAGACACAGACAATGAGAGGATCACCATTCATTAAACCATTTGAAAATGAAATAAAGTCAGTAATGATCGTACACTGAATGTACAGTACATGTACAGTACATGTATAGCCTGTGCATGAAACAGTGATACTATACACAGGTTTCCCACAAAGCATGCTTTATGAGCAGACAAGCACTACATGGCTTTTGAAGCAACTTTAAAAATCCATATGGAATTTGCTCAAACTTGCTACATGTATGCAACATAAGAACATGTGCATGCATCAGAAAATAATTACAAAAGTAGAGTCGTTATTTGGCCAAAGTCCCTGTACATACATGTAGTACAGCCTACAGAGACTTTAAAATTTGTAAAAAAAATCCAATTTTGATTGGAACCAGCTCAAACTTGCTATGCAACATAAGAACATGTGTATCAGAAAAATTATAAAAATGGAGAATTCTCTTCTTTTTAATTTTGGTGAAATGTTGTCTGAGACTGTGTACTATAGCCCATGGTATTTGGCTAGACCCAAATGAGGTATACAATGTACATGTACATGTATGTATACATCACTACATGTGTACATAGAAAAATACATATTGTTTTATAGGGACTGGGAGTTCAAGCTGTTGAATGTGCAAGAGATCATTGATGAGTGGCTAAAGGTTCAAGCCACGTGGCTCTACTTGGAGCCTATATTCTCTTCCCCTGATATAATGGCTCAAATGCCTGAGGAGGGAAGGAGGTTCACACAAGTGGACAAGAACTGGAGGGAGATTATGAAAGCAGCAATAAATGTAAGAATGACAGTTTGATAATAATAAAAAGAGTCCATTATACATTTGTGACTGTAATTGATAAAAGGTACCTTATGGCGGACAATTAAATTTGTCTATATATCAAAAAAATTCAACTTCCTGTGCTCCTTTTATAATGAAATTTTTGCACAGGATGCTAAAAGTTACTGTTTAATTTTTGGAAATAATGCTTTTCTAACAAAGCACACACTTGGTATTTTTTCATCTAATAATCCGCCAAATGGTACCTCTTTTAGTCACATATTAACAACAATATTATACATGTAATAGTATTAATAATAACACTCTGTGATTGTTTAGGATACTCATGTGCTTGTTGTGACTACAAGTGTTGAGAACATGCTGGAGAGACTAAAGAAATCAAATGAATTATTAGAATTGATATTAAAGGTACAGTACATGTACATTCTACAGTGCATGTAGAACTATGCATGAGAATAATATTGTTTGATACTGTTACATTGTATTATAATAAACTTACACAAGTACACTTAATACTGAACATGTACATGCTTGCATTAATGTTTTAATTATTCCTTATAATAATGTGTATTATTGTGTCATGAATGTCCATAGGGTCTGAATGAGTACCTTGAAAAGAAGAGGTTGTATTTCCCTCGTTTCTTCTTCCTTTCTAATGATGAGATGTTGGAGATACTCTCAGAGACTAAGGACCCAACAAGAGTCCAGCCTCACTTGAAGAAATGCTTTGAAGGAATTGCTAAACTAACATTTACTGAAGACCTGGACATAACACAGATGAGGAGCTCAGAAGGAGAGGTACATTATTACCTTATTATTATTATTATAAAAACAAACAATGAAAGCAATAATAAATGTGAAAAAAATATTATTAATATTATTATTAAAAAGAAAAAACCAAAAAACTATACCAAAAAATGAATTTTTTGTCCACAAAAGGTTATTCTAGTAACATTAGGTCAAGTTTCCTAAACAACATTCATGTCATGTCAGATTTTAACTTCAATAACAAATTTTTGATTTTTATTGAAATTACATGTACATGTACACAATTCAACTTTTAATACCTGCATGCCTGTATTCAATTACATGTACTTACAGTAATGTATGTAAGGTACATACACATGTGCATTATTTTCTTGTTTTGTGTTGTTGTAGATTGTTCCATTGAAGGATGTCATTTCTACATCAAAGGCTAGAGGGCAGGTTGAGAAGTGGCTGCTAGAGCTAGAGGGCCTTATGGTGTCCAGTATTCACAAGGTACTGTTCTACTGTGTATTATTTGAACCCTGATAAAGTGCCCTTGTCTGCTATTTGAACCCTGATAAAGTGCCCTTGTCTGCCCCAGGGAAGATACCCCACTCAAAGCTTATCATAATGGATAAACACTTCCCTGGGCACTTACATGTAGCTATTAAGTGTTAACACTTTAGAGGGGAAATGCCTAAGGCAACACTCTACCCACTTTAATTCACTAATTCCATGAAATTGACCCACCTACAGCACTGTACATGCATGTATAATCACACAGTTGGGTGTCTCACATTCACATAACCTACTAATGTACATGACATGTACATGTATACTACTAGAAGAATGTAGAACATTAAAAGGGTGAGCCTAAGCAAGCTATACATGTAGATTGTGCTGCATGATCTACATGCATGAGAAAGCAAAGCAATTGCACATGCAACACATCTTATTGCAGTCAAAATTTTCTCTATCAGTTCCTCACTTAAGAATCTCTGCAGCTTTGCAGCAATTAAAGTTATCTTGCTTATACATGTACAGTAGTTAGAAGCAGTCACTGATTTGAAGATTGCACATTTGCTTTGTTAACCTAGGCTTGTTGCTAGAGAAGAAACATCACTGACATAAACAGATGTCATGATGCATGCAGCACATGCAGCTTTCTCACTTGCATTCAGCTTATCAGAGTCCTTTATATCAAGAAAAAAGGTTTTATATATGCTTTTCTAACCTTTCTTCTTGCTAGAGAAGTCTTTGAACAGCAGTTTAGCCTTATCTTGCTGACCGTTTGCTGCAAATAGCTCAGACTTGCTGTTAGCCGCCATTTTATTCATTGTGACCACACCCGTTTCATTGACGATTAGGCTATTTAACTTCAATAATAGTTAGATGACCCTATCATCCCGTACAAACTCTTTCCCGCGCTCTATTATACTATATTTATCTGTCAATTTTTAACTCCAACACACATTTATGTATACTGTATGTATTTTTATTAATAGTCTATTACATGTAAAAAAGAACATGTAGATTGCAAGTCAGTGTACATGTACATGTACAACGTATGTGTATATGTACATGTACATGTAAATTATGTACTGTACATTGTACATTGTACATGCTGTAGGTAATTGAGGAGTCATTGGCTGCTTATGCAGTGACCAAGCGTGTGGAGTGGGTTGTATCGTGGCCTGGTCAGGCTGTACTCTGTGTGTCCCAGAAGTACTGGACTGCTTATGTGAATGAGTCCATATTGAAAGGACCTGCTGAACTGAAAGCATACCTTGAGACCAACAACAAACAGATTGATGATATTGTTAGTCTTGTGAGAGGGAAACTGAACAAACAGAACAGGACCACACTTGGTGCTCTTATAGTCCTGGATGTTCACTCCAGGGATGTACTAACTAAACTAGTCAAAGACAGTGAGTCAATCCTACATGTACAGTACATGTACATGTACATAGTGTCATGTACACACGTACATGTATAATGTTACTGATTTACAAAATTGAATTTCATGTGCATGTACAGTACATTTGTGTGCCATATGTTGTGGCTGCAAGACATGTGTACATGTACATGTACAGTACATGTACATGAACAGTATGAGATACTTTTAATACAAAATGTACATAACTTTAGTATCAATCAATGTAAAACAAACTAACACGGCATAATACATGTCAGATAAAAACACAAAAAAATATGTAGTAACTAGTAATAAGTACATGCACAACAAATAATAATATGTAAAACACGTATAATAAGAAGGGAAGATGATAGAAAGATAGAGTTAGAGACACATGCCCTTCAGCAAGAGCAATATACTGTAATATACATGTACATACATGTACATAGTATTGCCTTTATAATAAAAATATTGTTTAATATGTACTGTACTTGTACATGTACACTACATGTATAAACCTGCTATGTACATGTACATGTACATGTACATGTACATTGTTGCATTGTGCATATACATGTACTGTACATGTAAACATACCACATTTACATGTACATGTACATAATACAAGTCATAGCTGTCTTCCTCATGTACAGATGTTAACAGTGATACTGATTTTGAGTGGTTGAGTCAGCTACGTTATTACTGGGAGGACGACAACATGATCACTCGTATGATAAACTCATCTCTTGCTTATGGCTATGAATATCTGGGTAATTCATCACGTCTTGTCATCACACCACTCACTGACAGGTAATTACAATGTAGACATGTTTCAATGTTTTAGCTCTTTTGTGTTCTGTTAGATGTTATCGTACTTTATTTGGTGCCCTTCATCTTCATTTGGGAGGTGCCCCAGAGGGTCCTGCTGGTACTGGGAAAACCGAAACTGTTAAAGATTTAGCTAAAGCAGTTGCTAAACAAGTAAGTTATCATTGTACTGGTAACCTGTACACAATACATGTACAATGTTTTATACATATAGCTCCCACTTTACTACATCATGAGTTACATTTGTACATGTATGTACATGCACACATGTACATGTACATGTACTTGTATGATCTCTCTCTCTCTCTCTCTCTCTCTCTCTCTCTCTCTCTCTCTCTCTCTCTCTCTCTCTCTCTCTCTCTCTCTCTCTCTCTCCTCTTTTTTATTTCTTAATTTTTCTTTCCTCTTTTGTGTAGTGTGTGGTTTTCAATTGTTCTGATGGTCTTGATTACATTGCTTTGGGTAAATTCTTTAAAGGTTTAGCTTCTTGTGGTGCATGGTCATGCTTTGATGAGTTCAATCGTATTGACTTGGAAGTGTTGTCTGTTGTTGCCCAGCAGATATTAACAATTCAAATTGGTAATTACACACATTATCCCAAAGATGTATTCTGTACACGTATTCATGTTCATGTAGGTATTAATTCTGGTGCATCAGTATTGCTGTTTGAAGGAACAGAGATTAAATTGGATCCTACCTGTTCTGTGTTTATAACAATGAATCCTGGTTATGCTGGTCGCTCTGAATTGCCCGATAATCTTAAAGTATTATTACTCACTGTTGTACATGTACATGTATTTGTTATATGTTATTAGGCTCTCTTCAGGCCAGTGGCTATGATGGTTCCTGATTATGCATTGATTGCTGAGATTGTATTGTATTCTTGTGGTTTTGTAAATGCACGCCCTCTCTCAGTTAAGATTGTAGCTACATACAGGTCAGCATATCATAGAGTGACATGAGAGCCCATAATCCTTACAACAATTAAGAGTTTTAGTTGCTTTATTTTGTTAAGTGGGTGATTTATTATTGAGAATAGCAACTGCATGTACATGTACATGTAAGTGTAGCTGTTACTCCTTTACAAGGAATGTAAGGCAGATTTCTTCTTATAAAGATACAAGAGATTGCACTATCTTTGTAAGGAGAGTAAAATTGGATTTTTTACTCTTGTTGCTATTCTCAATAATAAATCACCCACTTGACAGAATAAATCTACTAAACTCTTGTTGCAAGGATTATGCACTAGCTCTCCTGTATTCAGTATAAGCAGTTACTATACAATATTGATACAGGTTGTGCTCGGAGCAGTTATCCAGTCAGCATCATTATGATTATGGTATGAGGGCAGTGAAGTCAGTGCTGACGGCTGCTGGTAACCTTAAGCTACAGTATCCTGATGAAGATGAAGATATCCTCATGCTTAGGTCAATCAAAGATGTCAACTTACCAAAGTTTTTGTCACACGATCTACCACTTTTCTCTGTAAGGAATAACCCATTCATTCATTTATCAAGAGTAGATAATGTTGCATTTATTCATTCATTCATAATGTGTGTTTATATGTACATGTACATGCAATTAAATGTACATGTACATGTACATGTACGTGTATTTAAATGTACATGTATTTGCTATTTCAGGGTATTACTTCTGATCTCTTCCCTGGAGTTGAATTACCCAAGCCTGATTATTCTGTACTGGCGCCAGCCATTGAAGAAAACTGTGCTAAGATGAATTTACAATGCACTGAAGTATTTATGGAGAAGATACTCCAGGTACTGTACTACACCACATGCATTACACTACTCTCTCTATCACACTTCTTTGTGTACTGTGCATGTACATGTACATTTGTACATGTAGGTATATGAGATGATGATTGTTCGTCATGGTTTCATGTTGGTTGGTGAGCCTTTCGGTGGAAAGACAAGTTCATACAGAGTCCTAGCTGGAGCACTGGGTGACATATGTGAGAAGGTAATTTTAGCATGATTGTTAATAATGAAATATTGAGAGAGTTGTAGGGTTTAATGGATGAGAACAAGGTGGAGATCATTGTGATCAACCCAAAGAGTATCACAATGGGTCAACTGTATGGTAGTTTTGATCCAGTGTCCCACGAGTGGTCTGATGGTGTACTGGCTGTCAGTTATAGGAAGTTTGCCTCATCCACAGTAAGTTTGAATGTGACTGCAATCGACAAAAGGTATCTACATGTACAATGTACATGTACATGTACAAGTACCTTTTGTTACAGTAGATAATTAAATCATCCTTTATAGTGGCAAAAACTAACTTCCTGTGTTCGATTGATAATGAAATTATTGCATAGAATGATAAAAGTTACTATATAACTTTTGCAAACAATGCTTTTCTAAGACAGAATATACACAAGTCAATTTTTTTTTCATTATAATGATGAATTTAATAATCTGCCAAACGGTACCTTTTGTCAATTATAATTATCACAAATACTAATAATGCATTAAGTGTATGTACTGTATTTGTATGATTGGTTAGACTCCTGATCGTAAGTGGCTTATTTTTGATGGGCCAGTTGATGCCATTTGGATTGAGAATATGAACACTGTACTGGATGATAATAAAAAGGTACAGTACATCCATCAGTACATGTAGTAATCACGTTCCTTTATCAGCTTTGTCTCATGAGTGGAGAGATTATCCAGTTAGCTCCAACTACTAATCTTATATTTGAGCCCATGGACCTAGAGGTTGCTTCACCAGCCACTGTATCACGCTGTGGTATGGTGTATCTAGAGCCACACACGTTAGGCTGGCATCCTTTATTAAAGAGCTGGTTGAATACGCTGGACACTGTATTGGGCAATCATAAAGAACTTGTTAGTGATATGTATCTTCGTATGCTTCAACCCTGCCTGGATTTTGTGAGGAAGGCCGGATTTAAGGAGCTCTCTCCAACCTCTAATGCTAATCTGACTAGGAGCCTTATGAACATTCATGAATGCTTGATGGATGAGTTTAAAGACGAACAGAAATCAAAGGGAATTTCCGATGAACAAAAGCATGCATGGCTAATGGTGAGTGTATTAAGAGTAATGTACAGTTGTATTTGAATGTATATCTTGTACTACATGTAGGGCTCATTTCTATTTGCTATTGTATGGTCTGTTGGTGCTAGTGTTGGTAATGATGGACGTAAAGCTTTTGACATTCTCATTAAGGAACTTGCTACTGTTAGCTAGTGCCTACATTGAAACGAATGTATTAGTATCCATGTGTATTTAGGGTCCTCTTCTACCAGCCACTCAGTCTAAGTTCCGTATATTAGACTCAGTTGGACCTCCTAAGAAGTCTTTTCCTGTTCCATACCCTGAAGAAGGGACTGTCTTTGACTACCAGTTTGTGAAAGAGGTATACCATTACTACTACCGTACATGTACATGTACAGTATATGTACATGTGTCATATGTACATGTACCCTGTACAATGATATCATTGATATTGTTGTCATTTTTAATGCTCTAATAGGGTCTGGGCCAATGGGTACCTTGGACAAATGCTATTGAAGATGCTCCTCCTATTGCAAAGGATGCTTTGTTTAATTCCATCATAGTCCCAACTGTGGACACAATAAGGTATACATACCTTATGGAGCTTCTAGTCACTCATGAGAAGCCAACACTCTTTGTGGGTCCTACTGGTACAGGAAAATCAGTTTATGTCACCGTAAGAGCTTCATGATACATGCACTTCATTTATATGATGTATGTAGGATTTTGTATTGAATAAGCTCCCTAAAGATGTTTATAAGCCAGTTCAAGTTAACTTTTCAGCACAGACCACTGCAAACCAAACACAAAACATCATATTGTCTAAACTGGACAAGAGGAGGAAGGGAGTGTTTGGACCTCCATTAGGATGGAAAACAGTAACCCACTATTAATGATAGGGCCCAGTGTATATATTCTCTTTGATGTACATGTACATGTAGATTGTGTTTGTTGATGATATGAATATGCCTGCTAGAGAAGTATATGGGGCACAGCCTCCCATTGAATTACTCAGACAATGGCTGGATCACTGGAACTGGTTGGTGTTTATCATCTTTACTACTATGCATATCATGTACTGTACACTGTACATGTACATGTACTAGCTTGTACATGACATACATGTACATGTAGTACCTACACACACTGACTGCAGATTCTAATGCAATTTGTGGCCTGATGTTCAGTAATGACACAAAAGCTTTCTATAGTTATTGTACTGTACATGTACATGTACATGTACATGTACATTGTACATTGTACATTTACATATGTGCATGGCCATGTACATTTACATGTACTGTACATGTATTAGCATTAGTGCATCAATGCATGTACTGTAGGTATGATTTGAAAGAGAACACTGCCATGAAGCTTGTTGATGTCCTGCTGGTAGCAGCAATGGGTCCACCAGGAGGTGGTCGTAACCCCATCACTCCTCGCTTCCTCCGTCACTTCAATACAGTCACCATCAATGAGTTTGATGATGACACAATGAAACTCATATTTGGACGTATTGTTGACTGGCATGTTACAAAGTGAATGATACCTGTGTTGTATGTTAATTGTGATGCTGTCATTGATAGGAGCTTTACTCCTGATTTTAAGCCAATTATTGATGAGATAGTAGGTGCTACACTCCTTGTGTATAAGGAAGCAATGGCAAACTTGCTGCCCACACCAACAAAATCACATTATCTTTTTAATCTTCGGGATTTCGGTCGTGTCATTCAGGTACCTAATAATAAATATACATGTACATGACACTTTATTTGTTTCTGTTATACAGGGTGTCCTTTTGGGTAACAATACTAATATTTCATCGATGGATAGTTTGAAGAGATTATGGACACACGAAGTGATGAGGGTCTATTATGATAGATTGGTTGATGATGCTGATAGGAAATGGCTTGTTGAGGCACTTGGGAAATGTTTGTCCCAGGAATTCAAAACTGACTTTAATGAGCTATTCAAGCATCTTGACTTCAACAATGATGGTAATACATTATACTGTACATGTACATGTACTATACATGATGAATATATATGAACAAGTACTGCTATTATTTACATGTATGTGTTTATAGGTAAAGTTGAAGAGGATGATCTTCGTAGTTTGATGTTTTGTGATTTTGTTGATCCTAAGAATGATGCCAAGCCTTATACTGAAGTATCGAATGTTGATAAAGTCCGTGTTGTGGTTGAGAACTATCTTGACGAGTTTAATAACGTATCCAAGAAACCAATGAACTTGGTATTATTCCGGTAAGTACAGCCCAATGATGTTGTAATTGTAATTAATTACTAATAATTATTATTACTTTTTATGAGTAATGGTATTGGTAATTGTAATTGAAAATATTCATACTGATGTAATAATAAGAGTAAGATTAAGGTACCAAGATGTGAGACTTAAAAAAATGTAAAATAGATCACCAAAAAAGGAACATCGACCCTGATGGGACTCGAACCCACAATCCCCAGCTCCGGAGGCTGATACCTTATCCATTAGGCCACAGAGTCTATTACCTCACCTCTAGTAATTTTGTAATTGTATTTCCAAAATCAATTACTTCAGTACATGTAAAATAGTAAGTACATGTACATTGTATATGATACTAAATATGTATATATGTACATGTACATGTATCTATATATTATCTCATGTAGTTTTGCGTTGGAGCATGTGAGTCGTATCAGTCGTATCATCAAGCAGCCTAGGAGCCATGCACTGCTGGTGGGGGTGGGAGGCTCTGGAAGACAATCACTGACAAGACTAGCAGCTTATATGTCAGACTGTGAACTGTTTCAAGTAAATAACTCATTATTTTTATTGTTATTATTATTATTACATGTAATTGTTATTCCATACATGTACATTTTTGTACATGTATTATGCCGTATAGCTCAAAATTTTTGAGGGTTGTAAATTGGATTTTGCAATTTTTTGAAGATTCATGACAATTACTACTGCAAAAATCAAATTATTACGGTACAAGATAGCAGGCAGCATAAATTTGAGTAAATTAAATCTGCAAAATAGATTTAAGGGAAATTCACAAAATTTATAGCCCTCAAAAATTTTGCACTATACGGTAGTATACATGTGTATGTACATGTAAATGTTTAGGTGGAGATCACTAAAGGCTACACTAGTGTTGAATGGAGAGAAGATATGAAGAAGATATTACGTCGAGCAGCTGAGGGAAGCAGTCCTGCTGTATTCCTCTTCACTGATACCCAGATAAAGCAAGAGAGCTTCCTTGAGGACATCAGCAATCTATTAAACATTGGAGAGGTACCCAACATGTTTCCTATTGATGAAAGGAATGAGATATGTGATAAAATGAGACAAATAGACAAGTGAGAACTACTCCATACATGTACATGTAAAATGCCGTATAGTGGTTTTATTTTGTTGGTATAAAATTTCGCGAATTTGTTCAGATTTGCTATTTGTTGGTACAAATTTTCGCAAATCTTACCTTCTGTAGCCATTTTTCCTAGTGTGCCACACCCTTTTTTGTGGAATTTAGTTTCACAAATACACGAAATTAGTGAAATTTATTTCCAGTGAATTACAATGTATAACCCCGATACGGTATTTTTATATTCACTTGTGTCTATTATTATCTATGCATTCATGTATTCTACTATTTGATTATTTTAATCACAGGCAGCGTGAAAAATCCAAGCAAACTGATGGTACCCCATTAGCTCTGTTCAACATGTTTGTGGACAGAGTGAGGAATCAGCTTCATATTGTACTGGCCATGAGTCCTATCGGTGAAGCACTTAGGAATCGCCTGAGGCAGTTCCCATCACTAGTTAACTGCTGTACTATCGATTGGTTCCAAAGCTGGCCTAATGATGCACTGACTATTGTTGCACAAAGGTTCCTTGAGGATGTTGAAATGGAAGACGTTGCTAAGGAAGGATGCGTGGAAATGTGTAAGGAGTTCCATCAGTCAACTCGTACTCTCTCTAACAAATTCCTGGATATTCTTCAGAGACACAATTATGTGACCCCAACCTCTTACCTGGAGCTGATATCAACTTATAAAACACTACTGGCTAGAAAGAGAGCGTAAGCTTAACATTAGTACTGTACAACCTTGATTCTTTACTACATAGTGAGGTTTTGAAACTAAAGAAAAGGTATGAAGTTGGTCTTGAGAAGCTGGAGTCAGCTAGTGATCAAGTAGCTGGGATGCAGGCTGAACTGGAGGCATTGCAGCCTGAGCTTAAAGTTGCAAGCAAAAAGGTGATTCTTCCTTCATACATGTACATGTACATGTACACATACATGTACATCTACATGTACCTCTAATGCCTCTTGAGAATTTACATGTACATGTAGCCTAAAAAATTTATTAAGTACATGTACATGTACATGTAGATCAAAGATTTTATTTTTGTGAAGTTAAAGACTACACATGTAAAATATTTATTTATTAATTTAGAGCCTTATTACATTATTATACTGTAGCTATTCTACTCTTTTTTCTCTGTGTAGGTTGCAGAGATGATGATTGTGATTGAGAAGGAGTCCAAGGAGGTTGCTGAGCAAGCTAAAGTTGTCAAAAGTGATGAAGCAGTTGCTAATCAACAAGCAAGTGAAGCTCAAGCTATCAAGGATGAGTGTGATGCTGATCTGGCTGAAGCAATACCAGTACTGGAGTCTGCACTCGCTGCATTGAATACATTAACAGCACAGGTAATTTACAATGTGGATTACTACATTGTACATGTACATGTACATGTACATAGTAATTACTATAAAAATGATAATGTGCATGTTCCATGTAGATGTACACATGTACTTGTATATGTACATGTACAGTACATGCACAGTACATGCATGATTTACAGAGTTTCCCACAGGATTTTGGCATAGTGCTCAGCTTTTTACCAGTACATGTTTGTGATTGAATTATGCTCTTTAGCTGGAAACTTGATATTTCAGAAATGGCTTCGGAATAATTTTTATTACATTTTCTGATGCATATGCATGTATGTACATGTACAGTATAATGTGACAAAAATTTGAAGCTATATAGCACATTTTAATCTACATTGTACATGTACATAATTACATGTACATGTACAGTATGTACAGTACATGTACATGTACATTGTATAATAATTTTAATAATTATTTTTGTAGGACATCACTGTAGTGAAGGCAATGAAGCAGCCCCCGGCAGGAGTAAAACTAGTCATGGAAGCAATCTGTATCCTTAAAGGAGTCAAACCTGACAGGATCCCAGACCCTTCGGGCAGTGGAAAGAAAATTGAAGACTTTTGGGGACCATCAAAGAAAGTCCTGGGAGACATGAATTTTTTGAAATCACTAAAAGATTTTGACAAGGTTTGCTCTCTAAAAATAAGAATATTTATTTACTGTATTTGTGAATTATATGTACATGTACATGTACATGTAGGATAGCATACCACCTCCTGTTGTGGCAAAGATTCGTAAAGATTATACAACCAACCCAGAGTTTGATCCAGCTAAGATTAAGACAGCCTCTACAGCAGCTGAGGGATTGTGTAGGTGGGTCATTGCTATGGAGCAGTATGATAGGGTCGCTCGTGTTGTTGAGCCAAAGAAAGTCAAACTGAAAGAGTCAGAGAAGAAGCTAGCAGTAGCTATGGAAGTAAGTAACCAACCCTTTTTGATGCTGGCTCTATCAATTAATGCTGTAGAGTTTGAATGCTAAGAGAGCCAGCCTGAAAGCAGTTCAAGACAAGTTAGCTGATCTTCAAGCACAGTTTGAGGAAAATACAAAGAAGAAGGCTGACCTTGAGTACCAGGTTGACATGTGCTCTAAAAAACTTGACAGAGCAGAGAAACTAATAGGTGGCCTGGGAGGAGAGAAAGACAGATGGGGCAAAGCAGCAACTGAGCTAGCAGTACAGTACGACAACCTAACAGGAGACGTGCTCATATCTGCTGGAGTTGTAGCGTACCTTGGGACATTCACATCAGCATTCAGACAGGAGCAGATAACATACTGGAGCGAAGGCTGCAAAGAGAGAGGACTCCCTTGTAGTGACAGCTTCTCTTTGAATAGCACATTGGGTGAGCCAGTCAAGATAAGAGAATGGACTATTGCTGGACTACCCACTGATTCATTCTCTATTGAAAATGGAATCATTATTGCTAACGCTCGTCGCTGGCCGCTAATGATTGATCCACAGGGCCAGGCTAATAAGTGGATTAAGAATATGGAGAAGGCTAATAATCTTCATGTCATTAAGCTAACTAATGCTGATTTCGTTCGTACACTTGAGAACTGCATACAGTTTGGAACACCAGTCAGTATATGCATGTTCATGTATCTTTATCTTTTATACAGCATTGTATCTTTTATACAGCAATACATGTAGCAATGCATGTATCTTTTATAAGCAATACATGTTGAATGAACTGTATGTTATGCATGTGCTTGTACTTTAGGTGCTCCTTGAGAATGTTGGTGAGGAATTGGATCCAATATTAGAGCCAATATTACTAAAGCAGACTTTCAAGCAAGGTGGGAGTATCTGTATTAGACTTGGTGACAGCACTATTGAGTACTCTAAGGATTTCAGGTACACGACATGTACATATCACTTATAATGTAAATGTACATGCATATTACAGTACGTGTGCAAGACCGCCTACATATTACAGTACATGTGCAAGACCACCTATCATAATACATACAGTATGTACATGTACATGTACAATTCACATGTACTTTTTTTACTGATAATGATAATTTTATGTGCTTTGGGAATCAAAAATTTATAATGAATTTTTTAGGTTTTATATAACAACAAAGCTGCGCAATCCTCATTATCTGCCAGAGACATCAGTTAAAGTCACTTTGCTTAACTTTATGATCACCATAGAGGGCCTGCAGGATCAGCTACTGGGTATTGTTGTTGCTAAAGAAAGACCCGAACTGGAGGAAGAAAAGTCACAACTTATACTCCAGTCAGCTGAGAATAAAAAGTAAGTATTTACATTAAATATAATAACAAAATTTTATTATTATGTGATGTACAATGATAGACAATTGAAGGATATTGAGGATAAGATATTGGAGGTGTTGAGTAGCAGTGAGGGGAATATTCTGGAGGATGAAAGTGCCATTGAAGTACTATCATCATCAAAGATACTGGCCAATGAAATATCTGAAAAACAAGTAATGTATTGTTAATAATGTACATCATATACATGTACTTAAAAACTTACATTTATAAATGCATGTGTACATGTGTGTACATATGCACAGTCATACACATGTACATGCATGTACATGGTTTTACACAGTGCTTATGCTAGAGTATTTTGACAGAAGTTACTTGGAGAGGATTCTCCTTTTTTATAGTTTTTTCTGATACATAATGTACATGTACATGTCCTTGTGTTGTACATATCAACTTTGAGCTGATTCTAATCAAATCTGGATTTTTAATTTTTAAAAATTGAGCCAACTATAGCCTTTGGTCTTTGGCCAAGTTTTGAAAAAAATGGCTAGGAGAAAATTCTCCTTTTTATTTTTTTTTCCTGATGCATATACATGTCCTTATGCTGTCTATCAACTTTGAGCTGATTCCAATCAAAATTGGATCTTTTTATGAATTTTTAAAAATTCCATGTACTGTATTGTTGTGCTTGTCAGCTCACTCACTTAGCATGCTTTGTGGGAAACCCTGTACATGTACATGTATATGTATAATATATGTACATGTATATGTACATGCACATGTAGACTATGCTTTATGGTTTGTATCAGTAGCTAATATGAAACCCACATGTACATTTACATTTACATGTACGTGTACATGTAAGCCAGGAAAATACATACATGTACATGTACAGTGTACATGTACATGTACATGATACACACATGAATACCAGTATTTGTCCTAATATGCATACATGTACAAATTTCTGCATGCATTCTTTACCATACATTACTTTGTAATAACATTAGGCTATTGCTGAAGAGACTGAACAAAAGATTGATGTAGCCAGAATGGGCTACACACCGATTGCTACTCATTCCTCCATACTCTTCTTCTCTATTGCTGATATGGCTAACATTGAGCCCATGTACCAGTACTCATTGCCATGGTTCATTAACCTCTTCAATAACTCCATAGACTCTTCTGAGCGCTCAGAAGACCTTGAACAAAGGTACAGTATTAATTCTTTTAATTGTTTACCTAATAATGGATAATGATGTCTTTAGATTAAAGATTTTACAAGATCACTTCACTTACAGTTTGTATTGCAATGTATGCCGATCTTTGTTTGAGAAAGATAAGGTACATTATACATATACATGTACTTGTACATGTACATGTATATACATGTATTTATGCCATATGCATATGTACTCTACATTGTATGTAGACATACGGCATATTTTACTGTGTCTTGTTTGTTTCCTCCAGTTGTTATTTTCTTTCCTGTTGTGTGTCAATTTGCTCAAACACACTCACGAGATTGAAGATGATGAGTGGAGGTTCTTACTAACTGGAGGCATTGGGCTGGACAACCCTCATGCTAATCCATGGTAAGAGGGTAACACTTCTCATAAATAATTATGTACATGTTGATCTCACTGTTGATTCAGAAGATTGATTTCAATACATTCTCACTCCCATTGACGTGTAGTGGTACTAATTTTACTTGTATAAGTATAGATCTCAGTGATAATAGATAGTCATTAATTTATAGTGCATCCAATACTTCACTATACATGTACATGTACATTATGCTGTAATTACTTTTGCTTTCAGTAAATTGATTTTGTGACTTACGTGTATTTTATACTAGTTCATGGTTGCCCGAGAAGTCGTGGAATGAGTTGTGTCGTTTAGATGATCTGGAGAGGTTTAAAGGCATACGGAGTCGATTTGCCCTTGAGGTCAACGACTGGAAGAAAATATACGATAGTCTTGATCCTCAGAATGAGTCACTCCCTAAGGATTGGAGCACCCGATTGGAAATGTTTCAGTTTTTGTTGGTCCTTAGATGCTTGCGTCCTGATAAAATAGTGCCAGCAGTCCAAGACTTTGTTGTGGCTAAATTAGGAAAGAGATTCATCGAGCCGCCTCCCTTTGATTTAGGTGGTACATTCAGTGACTCTCACAGCTGTGCTCCTCTCATATTTGTCCTCTCACCTGGAGCTGATCCAATGGCTGCCCTGCTCAAGTTTGCCGATGATCAAGGGTTTGGTGGGTCACGCTTAAGCTCCCTCTCTCTTGGTCAGGGACAGGGTCCTATAGCAATGAGGATGATTGAGTCAGCTCAGAAGGAAGGCTCCTGGGTTGTGCTCCAGAACTGTCATTTGGCTACATCATGGATGCCTACACTGGAGAAGCTTTGTGAAGTTAGTACTGTTATATGTACATGTACATGTGCATGTATTTTTTAACCTGTGAAATTAATTTATGTGTACATATACATGTACTGTACATGTACATGTATGCCCCTAGAGGAGACTTCTTAAGTTTTGTTTTATGTACTGTACGGTACACTGGCATTCCACATACAAGCATTGTAAATACAAGTACGTGTACATGTACTATACATGCATGTACATACAATCTACATGTAGTGCATATACAGTGTATAATTATGTCTACTTAATGTCATTTTATTAAGTGCATAAACTTGTACATGTACATGTACATTAGCTTGTTGACAAGAGAAATAAAGCCCAGTTTTACTTATACATAATACATGTACATGTGTACCAACACAACTGCCTCACTACATCCAAAAAAGTACATGTACATGTACACTAGTCAGTGTTTATGTATCAATGATATATTATCAATGCTATGTAGTTGGATTATGATAAATTATTTGTAATGTACACATTTACATTATTATAATTATCGTAATTATTTGTGTACATATACATAAAGTTATGTTTATTCACATTATTTTAGGAATTGAATCCAGACTCATTGCATCCTGACTTTAGATTATGGCTGACCAGTTACCCCAGTGAGCACTTCCCAGTCTCAGTATTACAGAATGGGGTCAAAATGACTAATGAACCACCCAAAGGCCTCAAGTCTAATGTCATCAGGTCTTACCTGGGCAACCCAATATCAGACCCAGAGTTTTTTGATGGCTGTACTAAAAAGGTAATCTACTAAATCTACACTGTACATACTTGTATGTATATTGAACTGTGTTGTAGTATGAGTGGAAGAAGCTCCTTTTTGGTTTGTGTTTCTTTCATGCTCTTGTTCAAGAGAGGAGGAAGTTTGGGCCATTGGGTTGGAATATACCGTACGAATTCAATGAGACTGATTTGAGAATAAGTGTACAACAATTGCAAATGTTTCTCAATGAATATGAAGTAAGTTACATATGCACATACATGTACATGTACATTATGTGTACAGTGTATGCACTTGTATCCATTACACTTCTAATACATGTACATGTACATGTAATACATGTTGATTCAGTGTTCCTGAACTACTGTATCTAATTGTCTATAGTACATGTACATGTACATGTAGGTGCATTAAAATATTAATAATCTGTATCAACAATTAAGAAGTACAGTGCATTACTATAATTATTACATGTACCTACAAGTATACCACACATCATGTAAAGATTTTGTTTATGGCGGCGTAGCAGTAGTATAAAGGAATTCACATTATTTATACGTTTAATGTACTTGCTGTATTATCAATATCCTGTTGACTCTATAGTAATGCCAATTAGAGCAATTACTAATGTGATTATAGTCTAGAATGTATGCTATCATAAGGTGTACCTCACACACTAATGGCTACGTAATGTATAAACATGTACTGTACTTTCAGTTTATATGCCAAATGCATGTGTACTTACGGAGTACATGTGTAATGTATACGTGTATAATGTTTGGTATCATTATTATTAATATAATAGTGTCACCTTAACTCCATGTTTACATGTCCTTGCTCTGTAATTGCTTAATGGGTCTATGGCACTTGTCAGCAATCCACGTACATGTACATGTAAGTTTAAATGTTTTGCATTTAAGCTTGCTATAGTTTGCATATACATGTACATGTACATGTAGTTTACCGTTTTAATAGCAACTACCAGTTGTAAACTAACATTATCTATGCTTACATGCTTAATATTATGTTACCACAATCTCAGGCAAACGTAGCTTGTGTAAATTTAAACTTAATGTCGTTATCACATTTGCTGATCACTGCTGTATGTATACAATTTGTACTACAGTGTGTGGGTGTATCAAAGGCACCGCCACAAGCTAGTTTATATAGTGTAGACCACAGTAGGGGTAGTTAAAAGCCATCATCTAACTGCCAATACTGGTAGTTAGACGACAGTCTGACAAACACTTGTGCTTAAATCAATAATAATCAATAACAAATTTAACAATTAATAATAAGTGATACAATGTGTAAGTACATTACATGTTGTATTGTGTAGGAGACTCCTTTTGCTGCCCTTGCATATTTAACTGGTCAGTGTAATTATGGTGGACGTGTCACTGATGACTGGGATAGACGTACCCTCTTAACCATACTACACAAGTTTTATTGTGCCGACATTATCAAAGATGCTGATTACAAGTTCTCCGTTAGTGGCACTTACTATGCCCCACCTGAAGGAGAGGTGAGTATATACAATGTACTTGTCATTGTACATAAATTACTGTATAGAAGGAAATTTTGGAGGTACATGTATAATACATGTAGTTAAATTTGACGAATTTGGCGTTTTGATAGCTATTCGCCAAAATGAAAATCCATCATTTTGAGCCATTATGCGCATGCTCAATGGCACGTGGCCACAAATCCACCAAATTAAAATTCACCAAATTTAACTCCCTTTAAAATTACCTGCTATACAGTAAATGTATTACATGTATCTCACATTGTTTATAGTATGAGAGCTACTTGGAGTATATTCGCAGTTTGCCTATAATTGCTGACCCTGAGGTATTTGGAATGCATGCCAATGCTGACATCACTAAAGACCAGCAAGAAACTAAGTTACTTTTTGACAGTATCCTCCTGACACAAGTTAGTCACAGTCTCTCGATCATTCATTACCTGTATTGTTGTTGCTAGGCAAGAACAACATCTGGTGGAGGGAAATCCAATGATGAGATATTGGAGGAAGTTGCTAGTGATATTTTAGCTAAACTACCCGAAAATTTTGACACTGAAGAGGCTCTTCGTAAATATCCTACAACCTACTCTCAGGTCAGCCAGGGATTTGACATAGTCCTCATCCACCTTCTTGTTGTTGAATTTTTAAAGTTGCTCAAAAACTGGGCCAACAACCAAAGGCTATAGTCTTTGATCTTTGGCAAAATTTCATCAAAAAATTAATGACTATAATAGGAGAGGATTTTTATAATCTTTTTGATGTACCATATAGCCGGAAAGTTTCGTGGCCAAAAACTTTCGTGGTTTTTGTGGTTTAGAAGGACACCACGAAATTAAAAACCACAAATAATTTTAATTATTATTGAAAGGGTGTGGTATTATAGCAAATTAATGAGAGGCGTGGCTGCTTCAATGATGATCCACAAAAATAAAAACCATGAATAGGCCAGGAACCTCCAAACCATGAAAGTTTTTTGCCACAAAACTTTCTGGCTATATGGTGCATCTTGTTCTTATGTTGCATAAAAGTGTTGACAATCAAAATGGGATCTTAATGAATTTTTAAAATGCCATGTACTGTAGTGCTTGCCAGCTCATTAAGCATGATTGTCTTTAGCTTACTTGGTATGCTTTGTGGGAAACCCTAAGATTAGCTCTGTCTTCCTCCATCCTTTTTGCTTTTCCCTTTTATATAGAAAACATTTGATGTACTAGCTGTACATAAAATAGAATCAGCTTCCTAAGCCATAATGCCTACATGTAAATGTAATTAATGACACATCAAAGAATTGTTTATTATTTCTGTAGAGTATGAACACTGTTCTTGTTCAAGAAATGGTTCGATTCAATAGCCTTAGCACAGTAGTGAGGAGCTCACTGATAAACATACGCAAAGCCATCAAGGGTCTGGTTGTCATGTCCAGTGAGCTGGAGGAGGTTGCCCATTCAATCCTAGCAGGAAGGATCCCTGGACTCTGGAAGAAGAAGTCCTATCCTTCATTAAAACCATTAGGGAGCTATGTTAATGACTTGCTAGCTAGACTTCAATTTTTACAAGTAAGCAAACTGTTTATCAATAGTGTCCTTCACTCCTCTCAAGGACTGGTATAATTATGGGCCTCCTGTTACATTCTGGATATCGGGTTTCTTTTTCACACAAGCTTTCCTTACTGGTAAAGACTATAAGCTTTGATGACATTATTGTCATTATTAATTGACTTATTAGGAGCTCAGCAGAATTATGCCAGGAAGTATCGTATTCCTATTGATTTACTAGGCTTTGATTATGACGTACTTCAAGATAAGGAATATGATGAGATACCTGATGATGGTACAGTTGTTATTGCTTTTACTAATAATAATAATATTATTGTATCAATTGACAGGTGTGTATGTTAAAGGCTTATTCATTGATGGAGCACGTTGGGATCGCAAAACTAAACTAATGGGGGAATCCATTCCTAAGATGTTAACAGATGCTATGCCAGTGGTAAGTGATGCACACATTATAGCTTGATATTGTCTTAAATGTGTATTCATCCAATAGATATGGCTAAAGCCATGCAAGAGAGATGAAATACCACCACGTATGACGTACACAGTTCCAGTATATAAGACAAGTGATCGACGTGGAGTTCTGTCGACTACTGGACACTCAACTAACTTTGTTGTAGCTATGAAGATACCTACTGATAAACCAGAGGAGCACTGGGTTCAGAGAGGAGTTGCTCTTCTTTGTCAACTTGATGACTAATACTATTAATAATAAATAATAAAAATTATGATTCTGAAACTATTACAGGTTGTAGCATAGCTGTTTATTTTCAAGCCACTATTAAATTAATTATTCTATAATAATTATTGTTATTAAAGTAACTGTTTGTGTACAGATGAGATTGGGATATAGACATTTTCATTTAGTCAATAAGTAATAGTTATAGCATAGATCAAACAAAAAGTATACAACATAATGATAAAATGATTAGAGACAAAACAACGATTATGAAATATAGATTAAGTTGATGATAAAGTCCCATTTAAAACAGTTGGTTTGTCCTCTGATTTTTCAGTACTCTCAGTAAGCTTTTCATCTATGGAAAAAACTTGATGCTATTGTAGCAATGACTAACGATCAATACCTTTCTCTTTGCATTTCTTGTCCCACTTGTTATAGTTAGTTTTAATGTGGTCGTCCCACACTCTGAAACCTTCAGTATTATGAATATCTCTTTTATCAAAAGTAAAGGCAAGTAGATCACCCAACACCTCGAAAGATGGTCGTATAATGAAATCAATAAAACCTAAAAGTTTTTGACAATAATAATAATAATAATAATAATCTGATAGTCATGATATTACAGGGTTCTGCCTAAAATAAAATTAGAGGTGGTGGGGACTAATAATTGTTCCTTTAAAATTTATATACACCATACTAGTAGACTACAATATCATGCTTTATGTATGGTTATTAGTATTAATTGGATGGTTGGTCTAAGTGATGAACTGGTTGGTTCATCTGTTAAGGTGGTTGTCCCGACCACCATAGGCAGAACTATGTGATAAGTATTAGATCTATACCTTTTTGGGATTCTGGCACAACTGTAGTAGCTCTATCACAAAGAGGAGAACAAAGCAAACCAAGTTCCTGTTCCTTGTCACCCTATCAATGCAATATCCTAATGCAATAAAAGGATTTAGAATGTCTCAACCTGTCTAAAGAACTCCTCTTGAATCCTCTCTGTCCATTGATGGTGCATAGCCCATTCCTTCCCTGGATGGGATATGTCAGCAATGTGTAGGATTAGACAAAGAAGGCTGGACTTCTCACTGTTTTGTAACTGACACCATCTGTGACATATAGTGTGTGTGTGTGTGTGTGTGTGTGTGTGTGTGTGTGTGTGTGTGTGTGGTTAGTATTATGATTACATAAAAGGAGTAATCTGCTAGGTTTACTAACCCATCAGATGATGAAAGTAATCTCTTCATGTGCTTCAGTTGAGCAAAGTGTTTAGACATGTCTGTAGCGAGTACCATCTCAATGGTCAGTGTACGTACTTGTGTAAACTGCTCAGTGGTTAGGTTTCTGAATATATTGACTTCCATCTAGTTATTATTTATAAAAAATATATTTATCATGAAACAATGCTAACGGACCTCTTTTAATATTGTAAAGGCTCTGTTTAAGTGATAATTCTCAAGAATGGACTGATCATTGTAGCACAATGATAATTCAGATCTAGAAAATTAGATTATTATCCATCATAAATGACATATTACTCCCACACCTTGTGTGGACATGAAAGCTGTTGGTGGTTCCAGTGTGCTCCAGATCATGTATAATGGCAGAAAAAAGTAAAGCAAGTATTTCTAGCTTTGAAAGCCACTCCTAATTCAAGAGATATTTAAAAAAATCACACTGGGTGGTTCTGCTTGCATACTTCAAGTTTAGCTAGCTTAATGAATGAGTGAACTGTCTGAACCACATCAGCAGCATGAGTGCAGTTATGATACGGATTGCCGTGCAGTTGATATCCATTTTCAACTCTTGTTAAGAATGCTTCAAAAGTTGCCGAAGGAATCTACAAACACGATAATTGTACTATGATTAGTGATAAAAATACTTTCGGAAAACCTTAAATTCTCTCAAAAGCTCGTGACGAGTGAATAATTCATAAGAGATGTGCTTTAATGGGTGAACATCAGTTAGTTTCTCTAATTTAAAGATATCACAATTCCAGCCATCTAATTGCCTCTATCACAGAAAGGTGTAATTCAATCAACAGCTACAATCAGCTCACTTACATGGAATAGATCTGCAACACCAGGTGGATAGACTAAATGATGAGTCTCTGCCATTTTCCTATAATGCAAGAGACAGTTTTTGAGTCAGTCCTGTTTACCATTCATTAATAGCAACAACTGCCAATTTACATGTTGCAGTAATGAATTTACATGTAGTTTGGGTACTTCCTAAATACTCAACCAGAGTTTCCACAATATTACAATATAGCATATTAAATGCAACATAAAACACATGCATAATTATACATACCCAAAGTACTGTCCAACAATGATAGTGCCGACAACAGCTTTAAATGTTGGTTTAGGACGCGATACTTCAGAATACAGTGTCTCTCTTGATGTGAACGTTGATGCAAGCCATGCTCTTACTTCATCATGAGGTACAAGATCCTGCAGATCCGCATCACTACAATGATGAATAATAATTATGATAATAATTCTATTTTATTGTTTACTAGATAACACATACATCTCATTCATTGGAGAATTCTTGTTTGCAATAGTTGATAGAATATCAATTGCATACGTAAGAGAACTGTTCATATACTTCTTGTCTGGTAATTCATCGTCTCTCTCTAGGAGTGTTATCAATTCTCTAAGTCTAGCATAATTATAGGACTTGCTAAAGTGATGGTTATAAATCAGGATTGGCTCACCTTCCAACAGCAGTTACAACTGAATTGGACTCAGTACCAGTTAAGCTTCCTCTTGGTCGCATCGAGACCTGTGATGGCCTGTTAGTAATTCTCCTGATATCACAGAGGACATCGCCATTGGACAACTCTTCGTGGATCCTTTTCTGCTCTTCTTCTTCCTCCAGACATGCTTCCTTGCTTCTCACACTCAGCGCCGCATTATTCCCTTTACGAGAAATACCTATCTAAAGCAATGGAACTGGCGGAAAGTGGATCCGGCTACCTTCATTCCCTAGAGGTATGACTGTTCTTCTCCTGTTGGTACTCACTTTTACACCCATGTATAAAAAAATGTCCTTTGCTCTTCTGTGACTTTCTAGTCTAAACCGCGGATCGACCAGATCAAAAACTGGGAGTGGCTAATCAAAATAATGCATGTGACTCATTACAGAACACAAATAAAATTAATAAATGAACATAATGTATAAACACAATGAGAAGTTATTCTGTGAGATATAATAATAATCATCATCGATGACATTCTTAGTTTGCATAAAGATGGACAAACTGCTGTACTTTTCTTGCAAAAGATACCTACAAAAAGTAAAAATTATTATATTGAATGATGAACTATCAATGATATTCTTTATAACCTAATGATAATGACCTTAACTACTATGAATTGATTCAGGATACATTTAAATTTATGCTACAATGCTTAACATATGGCCAGGCATGCCAATTGCCAATCATTGGTGATGCTTGAATACATGTACATGTACATTATAATTTTGATATTGTCATATTAGTTCATACATGTACTTGTGCTCTTAATGTCAACATTAGAGTGAATTCACAAGCTAATAGAAATAACTAACTTTGTCCTTCTGATAATGCTTTGCTGCTTCTAAGTTAAGTGGATCATCAAAGTTGAGAAGATCCTAGAATTAGAAATACTGTAGTTACAGTGGTACTGTGCATGGGGAAGGACTCTACACATTATATACACGTACATGTATATGATGCACATGTACATGTACATGTACCGTATAGCGTCAAATTTTCGTGGGTGAAAATTTTCGTGATTTCATACATTTTTGCTTTCCAGTAAATTTTCGTTAAAAAATTTTCGTGATTTAAATAAAATTTTGTGATGATTAAAACCACTCCTATCCATGTGGCCGCGCGCTAGTAGCTAGCCTTCCAGCTGGACTTGGAGAAGAAGCAACATGAGTGGTAGCATTATTCGATATTAATTCCCTTCGTGTATCCGTGGCTATCACGTATACCAAGAAAGGTGGGCTCCCTTTATAGGAGAGACTCTTAGCTGTGCAGCCTGTGCCCGAGAAACAAATAAAAGGCGTGATGGGACACGCCCACATTTATATCAAAATTAAATTTCGTGAAAAATATTTTCGTGATTGTCCATTCAGTCATGAAAATCACGAAAATTTTCAACCACGAAAATTTGACGCTATACGGTATATGCATATTATACTTACTGAAAAGAGTGAGTTCAATCCTAATACCACATCCTAAATAAAAATACAATATATCATTGTGGATCATACAATTAGTACATGTACACTAAGCATTACTAATTCACTATGATTTATGGGGTTGATTATCAGGATTATAATGTTTACTATTACAATATCAGCGGCCTACTTGATGTGTGTGACTGTGAGTAAAAAATGTTTGTGAGTAACACCAAGAGTAATATAATTAATAATGATTAGTCACAAAGAGGTGTCTATATGCATGATCAAACTCATTCCAGACACATATTATCATCTGTCACAGTTTACATTGCATACACACAGAGTTTCCTGTTTTCATTAATTATAGGCATTATATTTTAAATTTAGTGGTTCTTACAGAAGTACAGAAGTACATATACATGTACATTTTCATAGTGAAGCTTGTAGGTATTAAGACACAAAACAACTGAGCAAGGAAACACTAACCCTACCACAATAAACTGGCAAGAAGGAAACAACTAATTAAAAAAATTATTTTGGCAAAAACAATAATATTTTATCAAGCTAAAAATTGATATTCCTAACAGACCAAAAAGAGACTGTTACAGTAAGTGATTGCCTAATAAAGTTTTTATATTAAAAATGAACAGGTGCATGTCTGCATCACACAACATACTGCTTCTTTTTACAGGGAAGACCCAGTGACGCTCGCTATTACATAATACTGATAGTAAAATACACAGACTTGTGTCTGCATCAGTACAATAATAATAACTACAATAAACAATAATTTATTATGCTTATCAAGCACTCATACTACCATGCATTGTGTACATAATGTACTAATATGCCCACTCATACCTTTAGTCTTCTTGCTGGTGACCAACCAGTGCCATCAATGGAAGTCTCTCTTAAAATACTGAAAATAAATACACGCTAATCATTAGCATTAGTGTAATTATCATACCTTAAGCACACGTCGCCTGTTTCATTAATGTTTGGATGCCATAGTCTTGTTAGACATATCACTGAAGGTGGCTATAAGATAATAATAATAATAAAATATACTATAATTAATATTATAATTTTAAATGTTACTTTAATATTGTATTCGGGAGGTACAGTCACTTCAAATGTGAAACGTCCATTCTTCCAATAGCCTTCATCCGGCTCTATTACAATTTGAAACTGTCTAAGATTATCAGGATTGTCAAATTTGAGAGTACAGGATTCTAACAAAGACAGGGACTTAAACTTAAATCATTTCAATACACTTTTACTTACTTGGTAGGACGTCTCCTAACTCACTGGCCTCTACAATAATGATCTCAACACTAATGCTACATTGGAATTCATTACTAACCTGCAGTCAGTATCTGTGACCGAAAAGATTGTCGTCGTTTTAGCTCTTTTCCTCCACTAGTTCTGTCTTCCTTCTCTTCTCTCTGAGCAGCCTGTTCAGCTAGCTTCTTTCGAATGGTGATCATGGCTGGTCATCAGAGAGAGAGAAAGAGAGATTCACGCACTGACACTGAAAGTCTGAAAGACAATCCAGAATAGTTTGATTTTACAGGACGCACTTCGTTTAATAAAAACTATTCCGGTATCATTGATTGTTTATATAAAGCACTATTATTCCCAGCAGTGAATACCATTTACAGTCCAATGGAAAAGCTATCATTTCTATTTCTCATTATATTAAACTGTGGCATTGGCTGGAGTATTGAAGGTTAGAATTAAATATTATCATTAATAATCATAATGGTCATTTCTATGAATAGGATGCAGGTTTTGTTATACCAAGCTACCCAATGCTACACTTGGATGTGATCCTTATTTATCAGTTAATAGGTCTATTTCTTTAATATGTGCCATTGAGAGACCTGATTCTGCTAGTCTTGATATTAAGTGGTTTTTCCAAGGTTCTGACTCCACAAATGCAACACAAATCAGTTCAGATTCAAATCACACAATTACAGTCAACAGTACAGAAACCTCACACCAATCGGTAATGGCCCAGTCCACGCTTACTATTACACCATTCTCTGTTGGACAGTATTGGTGTCAAGCATTTAATGGTAGCAATGGTTTGGGAAAGATTCAAAGATTGGAGATTTTTGATGATTATGAAAGATTAGATCTAGAACCCTGTACTGTTCCAATAGCTGAGTCTGTGCATAAGTGCAATGATATAATTGAAAATGGTGACTTTTATTCTGTCTGTCCTATTTTATCAGTTAGTAGTAGTAGCAGCATTTTAACTACTTCAACGGCTTATATTGAAAGCACTACTAGTTTATTATATTTGTCATCATTGACTTTTAGTTCTAGTGTATTTGATGATATGCCTCCTTTAAGTACTGTATTTTTATCATCAAGTACTACATACACAGTGAAAACATCATCATACTTAGTAAATCCACCTCCATCAAATTTACCTATTGATCCAAAGCCAAGAGGTTCTTTTCACATATGGGTCTACGTGCTAGGAGGACTGATTGGAGTTCTTGTTATTCTTATAATAGTGCTCTCTCTCATCTGTATCGGATTATGCCTGACGAAACCAAAAGGGAAACACACAGCAGATAGACGTAAGTGCAAACAATGTGCAAACAATTATTGCTATAGAACTCGTGAGCGGGAAAGTGTAGAATTATGTAGCTACTTGTTGATTGAGCATTAATTAAATCTATAAAATTATTGCATTAATCTTGATATCCCAACAGGACAAAGGACAAATGATCACTGCACTAGAAGGGAGTAAGTTATTACATTAGAGAATACAGTCATTGAATTAACATTACATTAGGTCAGAAGAGATTACTAATATGCAGCGTCCACCAACTGCAATGACTGATTTAATACCGTTGAGCCCATTACCACGCGAACTGGACAACCCATCTTCACTTTACGATGCACTGGATCAAGATTATGAAGACTTAGATGAACAAAATGATACAGACTTGGCTACAAAGCCACCGGCTCGATATCACGAACAAGGACCATCTATTGGAACAAGTACTATCTTACGCTCTCATCCTCCTCTCCAACAAACTTACTCTGAAATTGGAGCTGTAGGAGAATCTACACATCCACCACATCTTCCTTCTTTGACTGGTTACGGGAAACTGGATCACTCACGACCGCGACAAAACTATTATCCAAAAAAGGACTCGCCGCTTTTGTCTGGCTATCGTAAATTAGAACATGTGCAGAATGAGTTCAGAGCCACTACACTACCCCAGCAGTCTGGCTATGCTAATATTGATGTTCCTGGGACTGTACAAGGGGGACACATGCGATCAATATCCTTACCTAACAGCGAATATAGCAATTTGAATCAGTCTCGAAGTAGCTCCGAGCCTAATACCCCTTTTTGTGAACGGCCTATGAGAAAGCGTTATGCTAATTTTGAAATAATAGAAGCGAATAGTATTGATGGAATGGATGATACAAGAGAGTCGTCTGATGACTACCATATGCTGTCTGATGCCACTGCTGAGCAAGTACAAGAAGAGTATGAGTATCTCCCTTCGTGTGACGATGAACTACACGATTTGGAACGTAGTCCTGAAGGATTGCATCTTTCCTTGGGAAAAGAGCATATTCATAATCAGCTCCTTGGTTCTCTTAGTAAGGATCCGTTAGCTGAGAAGATATCTGTTGCATCTTCTCAAAGTAGTGCCGATTTTACTGGGCCGTTCTTTTTTCCTCATATGGCGACACAGTTTGATGAAGCAATAAGTCCAGACAGCAGTGATGCTCATCATTTGTATAAACCACTAGATGTATCTACAATGGACCCAGAGAAAAGCTACGCTATGATCAGTGTCCAAAAACTCGGACCAACTAACCACTAAGCTATATATTGTGAGTGCTTTTAGCAATTATTATTAATTTGTAGCATATTTCAGTTTTGTTATCATTTTTTGTATTTTAATCCGCCTTTGTTTTATTAAATTAAATTAGAGAAATTACAAATAATGATATCTATTTAATTCAATTTAGTGTGCAATGCTTAGATCTATAACTACATACAGTCTAGTCATCTGAATTATTTTTGTGAACATGGCAGCAGTGGTTACTTTAGAATCTTAATCTGTTGCTTGTTAGGGTGTATCATACCTTGTTATCATGTCACCAGCTTACAATCTGTGGGGAAATCAAATTTGACAGAGTGTACAATTAGTGAAGTCTTTCATCATCAATGTTTGTTAGGGTACAGACACTTTTAAGAAGTACAAGACTGCTAATAGTCGAACAATACCACAAACAACAGCATATGCCTTGTTAATAATAAATATTACTTTGTTCATGCCAAATGGTCTAGAAAGTAGAAATATAATTATAATACTGTATAGATTTGATTACAGCATAGTGTAAACAAATTGACTTTTATGTATAGCTTGCCCTTGTTTTTATTACTTTTTTGCAAGTTTGCTCTAGAATTCTACTCAATCTTGTTTTCTTTTAAAATTTAATGTAGTTAGTACAAAATTTTTGACCAAATTTTGCCAAAAATAAAAAGTAGAGAATTCTCCATTTAAAAAATTTTCCCTGATACATATATATGTTCTCATAGAATGTTGCGTATTAAGTTTGAACATAATTTGGATTTTTTTACAAATTTTAAAAGTTGCTACAAAATTTGGCCAAAGTCCCTGTACTATTTGAAGTGGGGAGAATCTTACTTAGTAACTCTACCACATTACTAATAGTAAAGGATCTTTGGCCAAATTTTGCTAAAAATAAAAAGAAGAAAATTCTACTATTTCCTATACTATACATGTACTTATGTTGCATAGAAAGTTTGAGCTGATTTCATTCACATTTTGATTTTTCAATGAATTTTTTAAGTTGTTAAAAATTTTACAAAACATTAGTGTTGTTGTAGTTCCTTGGTACTAGAACTAAATCAATTCTAGTACTGCCTTTTTTTCATAGTTCTAGTTCCAAGAACTAGAACTAGTACTATTTTTACAACCAATGTAAGAACTAGAACTAAACTAGAACTAGCTTATACAAGACTTGTAGTACTAGAACTAAACTGGAACTAAACTTTGCCAGAGTCTCAGTACTAGAACTAAACTGGAACTAAAAGTACATTCTCTTGTGGTACTAGAACTAGTTTGGAACTAGAATTGTAGAACAATATTAGTTGACAAAGAAGGTACTAATTTGTCAGTGAAATATTTTAGTACATAACAAAGACTGAATAGCAAATAATGTATGAATTTGTTACTTAGACATAGATTATAATGCATAAGTATATCAATAGACTTTTGAATACTTGTTCAGTTTAAAGCTAAGCAGTTAAAGCATGACAGCAGAAGCAAAAAGAAGCAGTATTAAGAAATTATTTCCAATTAGAACTAAGCTTCTTAAACTCTATTGTCAGAACAAGTACAAGAACTATAACTTAGCTCTAGAACTAGAACAATAGCTAAAATTTATTGAAATCTAGTTCTAGAACTAGTACTAGAACTAACTTTATCAAACTATAGCTCCAGAACTAGTACTAGAACTAAACTTTATCAAACTCTAGTTCCAGAACTAGTACTAGAACTAAACTTTATCAAACTCTAGTTCCAGAACTAGTACTAGAACTAAACTTTATCAAACTCTAGTTCCAGAACTAGTACTAGAACTAAACTTTATCAAACTCTAGTTCCGGAACTAGTACTGGAACTAAATTTTATCAAACTCTAGTTCCAGAACTAGTACTAGAACTATATAAAATTATGGTACTACAACAACACTACAAAACATATACATAATACATAGAATAATGAAGGAATAAGGACATTAATGGTCTAAAGACAACCCTAGCCATTTTGCACACTTATTTTAATTACTGTGAATAAAATAACCTAAATTTGAAATAATGGGCAAGCTGCTAATGATATTGATCCTGATTGTAAACTGAAAATAAAATTACATGGATGCATGCATGCATGCACTCACTGAGATACAAAACTTATGTGTGTATGGTTCATGCACATAGTTTGTTACAGTACGTAAACATGTTATTGTTTTGAATCACCATGTCTTGTGACTTGTCAAGACTTTATCTACGTAAAAGAAAACTGTGTAATTTCAGTGTCAAAAAATAACGATAAATGGCATTGTCAGTATTATTGGTGACTATAGTCTTCTTGTTGAGTGTCAGTGAAGTTATTAGTGAATGTCCACCTTCCTCAGGTAAGACACTGGATGTGTATAATAACAGCTGTATAGGTTTTTATAGGTATCTACCTGATGCATGATGGAAACTGTTATACTAATGGATCATATTTTACAGACAGCAGTATCAGGCCAACTCCTTTAGAGTGTGTATTACCTGGTGCTACTCTGGAAGATGGAGAATGGATTGGTCCTTATGGAACAGTTCCTTGTGATGGTGGTCACATTCAAAACATTCAATGTACCAATGGATCAGGTGCCAACCTCAGTGTTCACATAAATCCAGCTAATGGCTTTCTTGGGGTACCTGGTGATGGCTGGTACAAGTGTTGTCTACCCACTAATTGTTCAGATCCTAACACTAACATCATCTTTGTTAATATATTCAGTAAGAGGAGACTATAATCACTTACTGATGCAATAAATTTTTATTTGTAGGATATGCACAGATAGAATCATTTACTGTTGCTGATCTTCCTTCTGATATGACAGTATATCCTCAGAAATACAAACTGAATTGTGTTAAAACTGGATTTCACCAATATCATATTACAATGAGCATTGGTAGTACTTCACTAGCTAGCTACTATCATTGCAATGATATTAATCATCCTTATTTATGTCCTGGAACTGTGTTAGTTAGTAGTACTTACACAGTAAGATATACTGTTACTATTACATGGGATGGAATGACTGTCAGTAGTGGATCAATCAGTCAATCAACCACTGGAGATCAAATGTATCAATGCTGGCCAGTAGATAATCCTAATGGTAATGTAAACAGAATATGTACTTTAACTATAAAAGGTAATGTCAAAAAATCCTAATAACGATACCAATATTAGTACCAGCAACTGCTCTCTCTTCTCTTACTGAAGTCAGCAAGACAGCTACCACTATCACTGTCAGTTGGACTGCACTTGATTCATCTGATGCTGATGGATATGTAGTCAATGTCACTAGTGACACAGACACTATGCAGACAGTACAGGTGGAGGGAAGTAGTAATAATACAATCACACTGAATGGACTGAGAGGAGGAACAACTTATAGCATCACAGTCAAAGCCTATCAACAATTACTGGGACCTGCTAGTACAATCAGTGTACAGACCTTACCAGGTATTGCTACTGTACCTTTTAATGTACTATTAACATTGTTGATGTAATTCTAGTTATTAATTCAATCAATTGGACACTAGTCTCATCCATTACACAACTCAATAACACTCAATATCGTATTGATTGTCTCACAACTACTGATATAAATCCTTCAACTGATGTTTACTGGTTAGTGAATGGAGTGATGAAGAGTAACTCAATGTATACATCAATTGATGTCCTGACATACAACAACACACTACTGGTATATCCTGATCCACTGGGAGTGTCAGTTAATGTTACCTGTATAGCAATGATTGGAGGAGTCAACTACAGTCAATCTGTGATATTACATGGTATGATTATTTAATGTATTTCAATTACAAGATTAAAAACAACACAGTTCATTTTCAAATTGCTAAATCCCAAATAAATAATAATTATAATTAAACAATGATTTTGAATACTTAAGTATTCATAATCTTTCCTGTGAATGACGTTTCCAATTTATAATGATATTCATTGGGATACCGTAAATAGAAAATTTTTCAGGCCGCCATTGTGGAGGTATTGCTGCACCATAGCTGCACTGTTTCCAATGGAGCTCGATAACTTTCTGCCGTT